AAAAGGATATGAAATAATTTTTTCGTCGCATTAAGGGCCTCGCGATTCTAGTCAGGCCCAGGGCCCCGCTCCGGTTAAGCTGGGCTTTGGTGTCAAACCAAACTCCAACTAAAAGCTGTCCAGATAAATCCCCACCACCCCGGAATTTTATACTTAAGATTACAATTAAACAGTAATAAATTATCTCATTGATACTACGTTTTTGTCTTCTCACTTACAATGCACACAGACCCAGTTCCTTCCTTACCCATATAAAGCTATCGGGGATCAGTATTGTTTAGACGTTTCTACGTTAGAATACAAGAACTACAGCAAAATTTATTGTTTGGAAGTTTGTGTTATGGCCAAGCTGGGGGAAATTTGTGGTTGTACATCCTCGGATGAGTTCAACGAGAAAGGTAGGTGCGGCAGTTAACTTATAACGGGCAGTTAACTTATAACGAGGTTTCTACCAACGCATTTAAAAGTGACATACATAAAACGATATAATGTCTATAATGGGTTTTCATGTCCACGGGGGACTTTTCAGGATTAAGAACATACATATTTATTTCAATGTGGGTAAATCGCTTGTATGTATGAATCTTTTCGAGCGGGAGGAACCCAAAGGGTCAAGAAAATGTAAGCTTACATAAATGTGTTTTCTTTGTTTATAGATATTCCAAAATCAGTGTGCGAAGATCTAAATGCGGCAACGAAATGCTGGATAGAAAATCAAGGTACGGTTGTTGCAACGCTATTTTCTGAATGTAATGAGTATACTATTACTAGGATACCATATGAATGGAATACCCTGATCGTCAATCCAGATGATGGCCGTGTAGAACTTCCGGTCCCTGTTAACGCTAGACATTACCGGATCTTTGGCATAATTCTGCCCCTAAATAATCTATGTTATTATTATTATGTCTGGTTTCTTGTTTTACAAGAGCTACGGGCTATAGTTCGGATAGTACAAAACGACAATGTCGCATAGACACGTCGTTTTACTTACAAGAAATACACCAAGAAAGAAATTACGATCGAACTTCATAGATTCTAATGCTTGCTGGGCTTATTTAAAGCTCAGAGGAGAACCCTGTTCATTACCTACACCACCGAAAACCTAGTGTAGTATATCTTGTCAAATTCAGAGTAATCATTTAGTTTATTAGAGACTGCAGTCGATATTTTGGTTGGCAATATTGGACTACGTGGTCGTGAAGAAACTATCGGACTTATATGTTGCCAAACGTTTCGTCTGTTGAATAGTTCTTAGTCTGCCGACCAGGGCTGTCGGTAATTTTTCACGGTTGATTAGCAGCACTGCTAATCAAAAAGTCCAATTTTGCCAAATTTGATTAGCAAATTTAAAAATTGATTAGCAGTTTTTCAGTTTCAACATAAAACACCTAAATAACAAGATATTACTTTAGTTCATAACAAATATGATTAGATTCCATTCTTACTAATCTTAGATTTTTTTAGGACTGCCACAAGTACTTGTGACAGTTTGTGAATGTGATGTAGACATTTAGTTAGGTCTTATGTCTGAAGCCAATTCTTAACAGTGACTTCCGAAGCCCCAATCATTTTAATTGTTATTTTTTGTACGTTAGAAATCTTCGTTAGAAAACAATTTCGTCTGCTTTTTATCGTGTATTGCCTTTCTTGTTCAATCGGGCGCACCTCGATTGACTAGACACACGTGATATTTTACGGGAATTTTTACTTTGATTTATCATTTTACAATACGTTAACATTTATTTTTTTATATTTTATTTACAATACGTAGAGGATACACTGGATTTATTTCTTTCAAAATATCATATAATTACTTGATGTCTCGCAACGTGAGTGGTACTACTTGATTCCCTGTTTCCGGTTTAATAGTCCCTATTCATAGAGTTATGTCCCTGTATTATATAGTACCGTATAATGAATTGTGTCTGGGTAGTTCGAGAAGAAAATGTCACACGGAGAATTCAGTTTTGTTTATAAAATTTTATTCAACATTTTATACTCGTTGAAATTGTTGAGAAAGCTTTCTAGTCTTCAAATGTGGATTATCCTTGTGTCAATATCCAAAATGACAGGCATATTAATGATTCGCAGTTACTGCGAATCAAAAACTTTAGATTTTAATTTTTGATTAGCAACGGACAAAATATGTATCGCAAATTGCGCTGCGATACTGGTTGTCGGCAGCCCTACAAAGTCCAGTAGTACGACTGTTTAGTCAAATTTCCAACGGGTTTGAAAAACAAACTTAGCTGCAATGTATCCGATCACCATGAACACTTTTGGACATAACCGTTCAATCGAAAGTCTGTCGCCGTGCTTGTCAAACTGTTTTAAATTTTAGTGGCATTGGTATATTTAGCCGAGAAGGGCGAACTGTGTGATTGTCCAGATCCATGTCTGAAGAATGAATTCCAGACACAACTCTCATTTGCATATTTTCCTAACCAAGCTAACATTGAACGACTGGTAGAACTTGGTAAAATTCCAAATGAACAGTATGCCAGGTTAGTGAACAAAATGTATATTGTAATTGGTGCTCATAAAATGTATATTGTAATTGGTGCTCATAAAATATGCAAGTTAAGATTCTCCATATATGCATAACATTTTGATCATTGGTGAAGTTATATTCTGGAAGCAGTTCGTGGATTATTTCGCCCCACAATAACCCTTTGAACATATACATGGGACAATTAAAACACCAACTACAATCCCCGATTAATACGTCGCAGATGAATATGTGAATCCCATGATTCTCTATTGTACATTATATTCATAGAAACGAATGTGTAATTTTTAATGAATTACACATAGACTTCTTAGTTTGTATTTAATTTCACAAAATAGATCGTCGGCGATGTTGCACCATTGTCTGGTAGCACATACTTCTTTTTTATATTTTAAAAATTACAAATAGTTTTTGAAAATGTTTCAGACAAAACCTAATGAAGTTCATGATAAATTACAAAGATATGACAACACACATTATCAATTATATACCCGAATATAACATCATTGAAATTTTGGGTAAGTTGAGATTGTTATAAATTCCGGTATTTAACTCAGCTGTATAGCACTGATGAAACATTTACGGGTTAAAAGGAAAATTCCAGTCGTTTCTGCAGATATTTCATGTTTTGTTCACTTTTTAGTATTAAAATTGTTTCAAATATGCACAACCCTATATGCAAACTGTTCTCCTTCAAGTAATAGGTTCATGTAAATTAACAAGTGGCAGAAACACTTCAGGAAACAGTGTCAGGCACAGCCTGTCTAAAACAATTTCTTTATAGGTCCAATATTATCACACATATGACAAACCATTGTTCTGAGATGATATACTACTGGGTATAAGAAGTTGAGACCAGTGGGGTCAGGTGTTGTTGAGACGTCATAAGCCCTGTTTACACTTGGCCGCGATAAGCGTGCCGTGCTCGGCACGGTACCAGGCCGCGATAAATTTCAAGAAATTGACCTGTTTACATTACCGGTCTCGGAACCGTGCCAGGCAGGCCAAATGTGAAACTCTTCACAGAAAAGTTAATTTCAGTCAGCAAGTTACCCGGATGAAAACAATTATGGCGGTTGATTTCGACAGAACTGATGACAGAGCTGTCAAAGTTCGCGGGAAAAAAAGGTCAAGGTTCATTGGCGCATGCGCAGTAATCTGTACTGAAATCGTTCTCAGACCGGTTAGCGTTTACACTACAAAAATTTAAGCGTGCCGTGCAGAGACCACCTCACTTCAGTGGGCCAGATTGGCATGGTTCCTATCTACCTGGCATTACACGTTTATGTTTGAACCGTTCACACTAAAGAAAATAACAACCGTGCTGTAGCTGGCACGCTTAAAATTTATAATGTAAACGGGGTTATAGTGGAATTATCCATTTGAAGAATTTCCAAAATTGACTGAGATCCACCATAAGAAACCAAACTGATCACTAGTTGCTATTTTTAAATTTAGCTTTATTTTGTTTTTTTGACCAAACCAACTGCCATGTTTAAAATCTTGATGAATATCAGTTATGTTTCATGAATATTAAATTTATTTTTTTTAGGTACTATTGGTGGTCAGATGGGATTGTTTCTAGGAGCTAGTGTAATAACCTCTACTGAAATCATTGAAGTCATGTTATTATACTGCTACTATCGAATAAAAAAGCTTTTCCAGCACTAAAATTAAAGTTATCAAGTACCCAATACTAATTACATGTACATGTATAATCGATTAAGTTACTGAATGAAGTTTTGGTTTTTCATAGTCGTATTTCAATTATTATTGCTTTAAATTGTGTATTACTGTGTGTCTTCATATGAACAAATTTATAAAATATTACATGTCTATTATCAAATATTTGAGTTCATCCATTTTATGCGAGTAAGAAACAAAATTTATTAATTAAACCAAACATGAAATTAGTCCAATCTACTGGTATGGTAAGAACAAAGTCTAAGATCACTTGTTCAGTGCGTTTTCATGTTCTGAAAGTAGACCACAGTGCAGCACATTGGCCAGGAGAACTAAGTTATCTCACTCACCAGAAAGCCCCAATTTCCATTCCTGTCTTTGCCGCGAAAGAGCCTCAGCATTTTAGAGTCTGGCTGTGCAAAAGCATCTAGCCATTTGGATGGAACAAAAAATCAAGCTCCACCTGTGTATATGTTGGTGTTTATGTTGCACGGAATTAATATACTAGTCTTCATTGGCCTAGTTGATGCCGAAAAGTAGGACATTAAACTCAATTACATGTCATTTCAGAGTAATAGGGATTATTGAAAGCTGTAATGTCATTGCCCCAGAAGTTTTTCCCCTGTTTTAAACCAAAATGTCTAGACATAAAATAAACATTTAGTACCAGTATGACAAAGATACAGCTTTAAATTATAACCTGGTCTCCAGCTTTTGCTTGTTATAAATATTTCTTGTCTTGCAAAAAACATAAATGTTGTATTAAAAGCCTTGTTTGTGGTTGTGGAATAGTTAGATATAAAATACTGCATGTTTTTAATAATATATTTTATATAATAAATATATTACAATATACAAATTAACAAAATTTTGACCAATCTTATTTTAACTGAGGTATTCTAAACTGGCCTTGGCTTTCTCCATTTCATGTAAAAAAGAATAAAACTGTGGTAGAGATAATTCTGTGGAGAGAAAAAAAATATATATATTATAGTATAGTTGTAATTAATTGTAGAAATGAATATATGCGTCGTACTGTAATGCATTTCCAGCCAAATATTCTCAATGTAATTAAAATAAATATTATTGTATGTATACTACTCAATATCACTAGGACTATATATACTCTTCAAAAAATAGTTGGGGATATTAAAATGTAAATACCTATGCAGGTTGTGATATGATAAATAGTCATGGATACTTGACATGCTTTGAGAGTATGTTCACAGATGAAGAACTTATCGCCCCAACAGAACCACTGAGCTGCATGTGTGACATGCAACAGTGCCATACATGTGGGAGGGGTTCATTGTCAAGTTTGACACTTCAAGGAAGGGTTGATGAAAACTGCGGTGTGCTGGTTTATCCTATCCATGTTTGCTTTCCTACCGGTTCTTGCATAAGATTTACTGTTTAGCGTATCTTTGTTTTAGTGTGTTACATTTAATTTGATAGGGAGACGTGTTCGTCAACATCAACCGACAACACTGCAAGAATTGGCCGTGGCACTGCAAGAGGAATGGGTCAGATTGCCCCAAATCGTGATTGGATGGTTGATTAGGAGCATGCCACGACGAATTGCTGAATGTCTGAGGATTGTTGGAGCAATATCTCATTATTAAGACAAAAATCAAAAACGTCCATTTTCACTTTCCAAATGAAAATGGGGCCGTCAGATAAGCCGCCCCTATGAACTGTTTATGTTCATGTGTAGGCAATTGGCCTGTTATTAACATACACTGGTTACCTCTAATAAAAACAGCAGTGCATTTCCGCAGTTTTGTATGTTTCTGAATATCCCCTACTTTTTTTGAAGAGTATATATGATTTTAAGATAAAATTTTTTTGAAAGACCCCTAAAACAATCAAAGGTTTATCCTCAAAGTTTATCAATTATAAATAAATAATTAAATAATTCATAAATAACAACACTCAAACTTACCCATGTATGTATTCTTGGTTCCATTTCCTGTGTTTATCACCATTTTAAGCTGAAAAAAGCAGAATAATATTATAATTCATCATCTTCTCACTGACCTTGTGTTCTCTACGGTCAAGCTTTATTATCTCTATTAGTACCTATTTAATGCAGGCCAGCAGTCAGAACGCAATTCATAGGGGGGGGGGGGGGAGGGGGGGGGGCAGCTAAGTGGGATTTTTTTTTAAAACTAAGGAACACTTAGTTGAAAGTGCACCATATATATTAATCATTGATGTAGATACAAAATTCTATTTAATTTCATTACATATTATAGTCAACTAGTGATAATTTATAAAATGAAATATCACAAACAATTATTACTTCACACTGTGAATTATTTTATAAAAAGATCTTGAGATAAAAACCTACCTGTAAAAATGTATTTCCTACTTTATCTAGTTCACTACTTGAAGCAGTAACTAAAAAAAGGAAAAAAAACCAATCACAATAGTTATTGAAATCTCTGTATGCCTTTTGTTTTGTCTAGACTAATATTCGTTCTAGTTGAAGCGAATACAATTTAGGCTGGATTGATCGAGACATAGCATAGACAGCACAATTAGATACATATTTACAGAGAAAAAATAAAATTTAATGGAAAAAAAGAAAACTATTTAATGAAAACATCTGTGGTCCAGTTGGTCCATATGATTGCCACTTGTGTATCACTTTACTGCCATGTGGAAATAGTACCAATAATGTAATGTATATTGTAATCAAGTATTGGTTATGTTTCTTATTCAGAGTGAAGCACTTTCAAAATCAACACATTGTTACAATCAGTGCTTTAAATGAAAGAAGAAATGCTACAGAACTTTTTTTTTATTAAACTCTTCTGAATAAATCAGTTGCCAAACTACATAGTACTTAATTGTTCACATAGGTGTTTTAGCGGACAATGCCACAACTGAACAATAATAGAAAAAATGGACTGCTATACCTCAAAGCTCCTTTCATATAAAACAAAGTGATTAAGTAATACTACAGAAGATAAAATGCACTTCTAACCAGATTATTAAATGCCTTTTTAGGAGAGTAATGTTTTTTTCAACTGTCAAGCAATGTACATTTTATTTATTGTCTGTCTCTGTCACAGAAAGGTTTGAGAGTTGTCTCTAAATGAGGAATATCCAAGATATATGAACTGTGCAGTATTATGGGCTTACAGTCTATTAAAACACTTTTCATCTGTGCTATTAGTATCTGCATACTAGTAATTTTCAACTGAAATATACATGTACTTACCACCAAATTTCCATTCCATATCCACTAACTGATTTACCATCAGAGTCTGACCAAGTGCACTTTTAGATAACAGAAGTAAACTAGTCTTCCACTATTGTATGTAAATAGAAAAGTATTATTATCATATCAAGTAATATGAAAGTAGTAGTAATATATTAAGTATAATAAAAGGTATTGTTATTATATCAAGTAATTTAAAAGTAATATTATCATAGTAATTAGTAGAGCGAGGCAGTCGTGGTGGATCAGTGTGTAAGACGCTGGCTTCTAACCAGGATGTCTCAGGTTTTTGTCCGGTATTGGCTGAGGTAGTGCCTCATTAATTTCAGGGGTGGTATCCCTTGTCAGTGATGCAGGATGGAGAGCCTGGCAAGGACAGTGTATAGTCTTTTGGAAGAAAAACCTGAGATGCCGTGTATACATTGGCATGCATGTAAAAGGACCTGGCACTATTTCCCTAATAGTATACTGGCATATGCCTGTCTTCATTAGCACCAGCTGGTGCAGGAAAGGTAGGATATTAAACCCCCTTAGTTTTAAAGAAACAATTAAACAAAACAGAAATTTGATAAAAAAAAAAAAAATTGTTTTTAAGACAATCGAAGACATAAAATTCAACCAATAACATACCTGGTCGGTAAAAATATTAGCCTTTTCTGCTGATAATCCTAGAAAAGAACCAAAATATTTCATTGACGGCTCATCAAAATCTATCATATCCATGTACATGTATTTATGATGACAAATTTGCTATGTATAATTATTGTCTTACCTAGATTTACTAAATCTTCATTTATCTGAGTTGGGCTTAAACTTTTTTTCAAAGCACCTGGAATGTTAGAAACAGAATCATAATAATAATAAAAACTTTGATAATGTAAGCGGACATTAGGTGAAAATCTGTTGGTCTGCAGTCCCCCTACATGTGTACAGTGATACAATTTTTCAGGTTTATTCTAGCAAAAATCACATATTTTGGGGGCAATAATCAGAGATATTTAGGATAAAAGTACCAGTACTATTTTCTCTCAATTTCAATAATTGATAAATTTGGTCAAAATTTTATAGTGCCCTCCAACACCCCCCCGCCCCAAATCATTGGGGCGCATACAGATGTTCTTTAGAATGACTACCGGTAGTACAAACAATTCAAACAATCTGGTCTATTCAATGTACATGTTTAGCTTGTAGACAGGATTGCAGAGACATCCCAATGGATGGCATTTACAGAAGTGTAGTCCTCGATGCCAAAATTAGTAGGCTAAGCCATGGAAAATTTGATACTTTCCAAGAAGTGTAAATGACGCATATAAACTTCAAATATTAAATTAATTAAAGATACTTTAGTTAAGAGTTTAATAAAGAGTTGGTCATTCTTGCTATAATAATTCAAAAATAGATGATAAAAAAAGAAAATATTGAAAATTTCAGCCAAATTACTTCATTCTGAGCCAAATTATCACTGTTTATTGTTTTGACAAGATGTGTGCATAGTGGTACATGTAACTAGTGCACTGGACACTGGTATATTCGCGACTTAGTCTCGCTTTCCCAATTTTAAATTAAATTTTTAAATGGCGAACCGTTATAATCTAGTTAATATCGTAAGTACCCAATGCCATCGAGAATTGATTATTGTCATGTTTTGTTAATAAATTTGAATTAATAGTTTAAATAACATTTCAAGCCTAAAAAAAAGACCTGCAATAGGCAGATTTACCTCTTGCATAATGTATGTTTAATATTACTCATACTAATGGAGAAGACAATGCTATATGCAGATTTATATTTTCAGCTTACTTAGTATGAATATTTGAAAATAACTATATCTATCACTAATGAAATTGTACTTTTCTCAGATGAACACCTTTCAAATGCATGTATATTCACTAATCAGTTCCACATGCAAGTAATTATAATAAACTTACTGTTAGGTATTACTAATAGACTTTTAAAAACATTTTTTAAGGGCCCAGCACCTAAACCATTTTCTTCTGCAAATTCATCTAACTGGATTAATAATCTCTCAGACTGTAAAAGAAGGTGAAACTTTCTGTATAAGCCAATATAAAATAAGACAAGAAATCAAAACTTAAGCATGTTTTATACGTTGTTTTTTTATACTAGCTTCAGCATCTGAATGGCATATTATAGCTTCATTGAAAAGAATCAAAGAGAATTGCACTACATGTACACACAAAACAAAACCGATAAGACAAACGTGTGGAAAAATTACACATATTGCAATAAATAAATAATACACAGGCTTTCACTCAAAATGGAAAAAAACCAAATTATTTTATACAAGAAAGATGTCATGCGACTGGTCTTGATAGTGGTCATCTTCAGGATGTTGATAGTCTGTCAAATAATGTCAGGCGACAATCCAGATAGATGGAAAAAGGCTAAAAATTAATAAATAACGTCAACAATCTTTTACCAAATTAGCAAGATGTATAATTTATATACTGTTAAAGTTTTATATGCTATACATATTCCAGTAGATCATCATTTCATCATAAATAATTGGATCCACAATTACATATATAAATTTCATGTAATATTGAATATTACCTTTGCTGGTTCAATTAAGAACAAAAATACATACTCCACCAACTGACTAAATTGCTGGAATGAAAAAAACAAAAACATGTTGATTAGGATTTACAAGTTACTCCTGTATAGTGGGCCTACTAATGCAAACTAACAAAATTTATTTTGCCCTGGTCATGTTTATATTCACAGATTTTGCTAACCATACAAGTACTTTATATATACAACATCGATTTTGAAACCACAATTGGGCTTAATTGATTTGCTTTCATTTAAAAAGAGAACATACTTCATTTTGGAATTTGTTTAGTGTCTGAATATCACTGAACATAGAATCCGGGGGCGTTTCTTTGCTGAAGTTGTAGGATGCAGCCATCTTGATAAATTAATTGTATGACGTTCGGGTTTCCCCAATTTTAAAATACACTCGGACTCATGGGGAAGATAAGCCTTGAAAAGAGGCGGGATAAAAAAAAAATATTTTGAAAAGACCAATGATCTAATCTTTATAGCCACACAGAGCCCACCATGTCACAATTATCTGATAAATATTTGAAAGAGGATTGACAATCTGAATTTTTCTTTTTTATGCGTGGTTAGTTATTTCATAGGTGATTTCCCTATCAGGGGAAGACAACTCTCTTTGTGAGGATGGATTTCCCCAGTGACGTAGATTTTATATCATGGATTTCCCGGTTCATGACCGTCCCCTCCCCATAAAAAATGCGAATATCCATCTGAGCCTGACAGAAAATAGAAATTCTAACACTCCTTTTCGATTCTAGACATAAAAAGTCAACAATATTTATCACACAAACGGGTGGAGCAGTTACGTACGAATTAGGGAGGAGATGAAAAAAAAAAAAAATGCTACAAATAGACCAACTACGCGAAATAAGGGGAAATAATTACCACGCATCGTCCATAGCTTGTTATTAGCCTTTCTTTATTCGAATTCACCAATTAACTCTTTTATTTGTAAATTATTGAATATTCTAAACGTACTTCTTTAATCTTTAACTACTCAAATAAATCTCTATCAATAATAACCATTTTTTGCCCTTTACATTAGGTTCCGTTCTATGAAAAACACGAATATTTGTTGACTAATAAAGATCGAACTTCTTCTAATTTGTAGTCTTGACTTTTCAGTGGAAGTTACACGTGAGAGTAATATCTTGGGTTGTTTGTGTGGAGACATTTGTTGAGTTTTATTTCAACCTATAAATAATTATGGAAACAACCACAAGTAAGCAAAAGAAAAGAAAATTAGAAGAAACAGCCGAATCTCTAGAAACATTTACACGTGAACAATTGATAAACAGAGTGGGGCAACTTGAGAAACATGTCGATCAGCTGAGAAACATTATCAGCAAAAATACACAAGAAACAAATTTATCCAAAAAAGCCAATAAAAAGCAGAGACCATTTGACTTTAAGCGTTTTAACACTAGACATGTAGCTCTTCGAATAGCTTATCTTGGTTGGGACTATCAGGGTTTTGTAGTCCAGGAAGACACAGAAAAAACTGTTGAACATTATTTGTTTGATGCACTTTTGAGATCCAGATTAATTGAGTCCAGGGAGACTTCCAACTATCATAGATGTGGACGAACTGATAAAGGAGTCAGTGCCTTTGGACAGGTCATTTCTATAGATCTTCGAAGTAATCTATTAACAGGAATAGGTGTCAAAGTTCGTGAAGATGGCACAGCTGACCTTCGCGATGGTGATAAAGAAACAGAGATTAGATATGCCTACATTTTAAATAAACTTTTGCCCCCAGAAATAAGGGTTTTAGCATGGACCCCTGTTATGGAATCATTCAGTGCACGTTTTAGTTGCAATCAAAGAACTTATAAATATTATTTTCCAAAGGGTGATTTAGATACAACTCTGATGTTAGATGCTAGTAAAAAATTAATTGGAAAGCACGATTTTCGTAATTTCTGTAAAATGGATGTGAATAACGGTGTTGTAAAATATGACCGCAAAATAATATCCACAGATATTAGAATATTAGATTCTAATGAAAATGGTTATCAAATGTGTGAATTTACAGTTGTGGGCCAAGCTTTTCTATGGCATCAAATTCGATGTATTGTGGCCATCTTGTTTTATATTGGTCAAGGAAAGGAAGATCCAAGAATTATAGATGACTTGCTTGATATTGATAAACATCCCAGAAAACCTCAATATACAATGGCTTCTGATCTTCCTTTAGTTTTATATGATTGTCAATTTGACGATCTGGAATGGATTTATGAAGTCGATGTGCACAATTATAACCTCTGTCACCTTCAACAACTCTGGGCACAATATTCAATTAAAGCTACGACTATCAAAAGTATGTTAGATTCTTTGACTAGACAAAATACTGTGCCGTTACCCACTGTAGAACATGATGATGTAAAAGCTGGAATTAAAGAACATGTATTAATGCAGTCTTCTTGGATAACAGAAGCAAAACAGCCTAAAATTCACCAACCATTACTTTCTCGACAGACTTGTGAAAGTTTGGAAGAAAAAATTGAAAGTGTTAGTAAAAGAAAAAACAGAACTCTAACCAACAGTGTTGTTAGTATTTAAATTGAAATAATCTTTTGAATGAGTGAAAAATAAACATTTTTTTTCAAAATATTTTGTTATAAACCTGTTTCAAAAATAAGTATTTAGAACAGGATGTTAACTACTGGTACAACTTTGGACAAAATACGATGCTACAATGTTTTCATAAAATATAACCCCCCAGTCCTGACACCACCCCTAACTCTGAGTGCTGATAATCCCATCATTTGTTAGAATGGCTGGAAAGGTATCAATAGAATATCCCTCTTCATTTAGAACAAAAAAACAAGGTACTTTGCACAGGTTGGCATGCATATCATTAAAGAACCCTTGATAGATGGAATTTGAAATGCATATAAGAGTAGACCAAATGGCCCTGTCCAGGTTGGCATGCACATCATTAAAGAACCCTTGATAGTTGGAATTTGAAATACATGTAAAAGTAGACCAAATCACCCTTTAAAGACAAAATGTCCCGCATAGCACACTGTGTCTTCTTTAGCCATTTGGGGCAGAAAACCCATTTCACTTCATTTCATCTCACTTTATTTAAAGAACACAGCATTCTTTTTCCATACTTAGACCCCCCCCCCCCCAATTCTCTCAAAAAATGATATACTGGTAAGTGCGATGGCCTGTTGAGAGCGAAACTATTTTCCCCATCTTCACCACCTCTCTTTAACTCACTCAATAATACAATTATTAACTGGATTCATTATGAAACTGAGCCACATTGCTTGGTCACTATAAATAATCACTGTCACTGAGAGGGATGTAATAAGGTTTAAGTAATGTGCCAACAATATGGTATAAGCAAGATGACTTGGAGGGTGTGTATCCGGAAATACGTGAAAAAAAACAACCATTTTCCACATCTTCACGAATCACAACCCTGCTTTAACTCACACCGTACTAAAATTATTAACTGGATTCATTATGAAGCTGAGCCACAGTAAAATTTCACTTGATCACTACAATCACTGAAAGATAATAAGGCCAGATTACGGAGCCAGCAATATTAATTAATTTTTATTCACTGCAAATACATTCCTAAAACATTTGAAATTATATACAAAATAAATGTAGCATTTTAAACATATTGCATTTCTGTCTATTACAAACTTAGGTATAAAATCACCTCATCAGATCAGTATTAAATGTAAACAAACCAATTTATTATTTTTAACAGTTTGACTTTTGATTGTGCTTGTTTCATAACCTACTACTATACCTACATTAATTTATTACCATACTGGAATGGGATCTAATATATTCAGAAAATTTCTATATTTAATAATCTGTACTGATAAAAAGGAAATTGTCTGAATTTGGCAATCTGTATAATATATATGGACAGATGTCACAATTCAGAAATTTTCTGAATTTGGCGATCTGTATTATATACGAAGCCACGGCACACTGGTGGAGAATCACTACTTTAAGGCATAAACAAAGACCTGCAATACGCCAATAGGCAGATTTAGCTTTTACATAATGCATGTTTAAATGAAATTGTTATCCATTCTATTCTTTGTGTGTTCAATTGTCTGTCAATGGTTTTATGTGGAAAACAATACCTATACCAGAACCCAAACACCCCAATTTGATATTTTGAAAGTCCTTGGGGATTTCTGGCACGTATCTGTACAACAATGAGGGCAAACCTTTATGCCTAAAACAGTGCTTTTCAGGGGACATATTTATTATAGAGGGAGGGGGTGTCAGGCACCGCAGGCAACCCTATACTCCCTGGCAACAAGACTGCTTCAAATAGTTTGTTATTGATACTTTAGGCGAAATTTTGGGATTGCTGATTGTTGCAAACTCCAGAAAGGCGAATAGGAATAACCGATGATGCCCTCTAATGGATAAAATCCCGTCCCTCTGATCGTTTCCCATCTGTGGTTTTCAATGGCGTTGGGTCATCAAAGTCCTTCCTGAGTCCCATGCTGTTTACATACATCCTTCCTGTAGGAGATATGGGTAGATCACATTGAGCTTCGTATATTATACCGATCGCAAAATTCTGAATTTTGCGCTTCGTATATTATACAGATCGCAAAATTCGGAAGATTTCTGAATTGTGAGCTTCGTATATTAATTATTATACAGATCGCAAAATTCAGAAATTTTCTGAATTGTCAGCTTCGTATATTATTATTATTATACCGATCGCCAAATTCAGAAATTTTCTGAATTGTCAGCTTCGTATATTAATTATTTTACAGATCGCCAAATTCAGAAATTTTCTGAATTGTGGGCTTCGTATATTATAGAGATCGTCAAATTCAGAAAATTTCTGAATTGTTAGCTTCGTATATTAATTATTATACAGATCGCCAAATTCAGAAATTTTCTGAATTGTTAACTTCGTATATTATACTGATCGCCAAATTCAGAAATTTTCTGAATTGCGACACCTGTGCATATATATACAGATCGGCAAATTCAGAAAATTTCCCTTTTATCAGTACAGAAATTTATGAAATATAGAAATTTTCTGAAGTTATAATTGCCCTACTGGAATTATTATTACAAAACATTTATTGCGCAGCATGTCTTCGCCTTGAAGTAGTATGATGTGCTTCACATACAATTAAATGTTAACAAAATAACTGAATAATAAAATTATTTAAAATAAAAAAAATAAAATTTGAAAGATGAATGATATTGATAAAACACATAAAAATAAACAGTGGAACTGAGTAAAAAATTCCTTTTTTAGCCTGTAAAAATAATTTTTCTTAAAAACGAGCTGTGATTGTAATTTACAATTCAATTGTATCTGTGGATTTGAATAATGGGAAGTAGTCTAAATAGTAATATTATTAATAAATTGTGTCCAATAATATAACAACATTAGCATACTGCACGCAGGGATCCGGGGCTAGCTGTAGACAGGCAGCCTTAGAAGTTTGGGATGCAACACTAGGTGCTGGCAACTTTGTCAGTGTTTGATGCAGGGGAGGCAACTCCAATTTAACTTCTGCGCTTCGCTTTTTGCGCACATAAATATCCTATATCCGGTATGATTGGATGAATGAATGGCTGCGAATTTACAGGATTGTTCTTCGAAAGATGTTGGCGTACTTATTGACAAACCTAGGTTTTCATGAGTCATTTATTGATTAACTGTGACATTGAAATACGACAGTATACTTAACATTTTTAGAATACTAAAGGTAGGTTTTCTTATTTGTTTCCTTCTGTTTGAAAAGACAAATAACAGCCTGCAGGTGTTTGTTATTTTTCTCTTGTCTCGCCGACACCGATCACGAGCCAGCTTTTGTCTCCTGATTGTGTATACTGTAATAGTGATGATAATAATAGGGTTTTTTAACTGTCAACCAGTGAATTTTCTTAAAACAGATTCCCACACTTTAAATGGTATTTTAAATTTATAAACACCAAATGAAGCTAGACTGTTACCGTTACGATGGCCCTGTCTCGATCGTATGGGATTGATACCGAAAGTATAATTTATCCTATAAACACTGCCCCACAGCCACAGACCTCGGGAGTCTGGTGATGTTCTATTCTGACTTCTGTAATTGAATTATCATTTTACGCCCATTATAATGGAGTTGTATTCCCCCCTTTCTTGTTTTTTTTCTCTCTTTTATTCTGTTCCCGTATAATTCTTTTGGTATCTACATAAACTTTATAAAGTTAACTGGTTTATTATTCATTTTTATTGTAAACAAAAAGTAAACAAACACAGAAATCATGTCCAAAGTAGTTTTAGCCCAAACTAAAAGTGATAAATGTAGAATAAAAAATAGGTAGGCCTTATGTCTGTAAATGTAAACTGAAGAGATTTATCTGTCAACAATTGAAAAATGTATTTTCGTAGTGGGTAGAGAATTTTGTATAACAATTCAGGTACATGTATCTCTTCTGTGACTATTTTTAAAATATAATTAACCGGACAAAAGTTCAAAATATTGATAGTCTGGTTAAAATGTATACATGTTGACAGAACGACATCATTACTTATATTTTAATACTGGTATACATGTAGTTCAGCTGAATGAGATAAATCAAGGAATTGTCCTTTTGACTATAATTTATTGTTTATTTGAAGAGCTTAGGCTACATGTGTATAGGATATATTACAACATAAACCTGATGTCTTTTATTTCTACGGTTTATTGACATTGTAGTAACTTTTATCTTGTCCATTGCTTAGTTTCCTTTGTAATATTTTAAAATACTGTATTGGAATTGATTACCACCTTTGATTTTTACTAGCACTTAACATTATGAATATTTTTCATGATTGTCTTTTCAGACATAAATGTTTGATTTTATTGAGTCATTGGGTGTCACATGTTTAAGAGCAGAAGGATAAATTAAATCACAGGCACTGGAGATTACATAAAAATTGTTTACTCTATATACATTATTGTGGCATTGCTTTAACTGAGAATTTTGACAGAGCAAGCAGAATTTTACTTCCATACAATTACACATCAAAATTGTATTTTAATAGACATATTTGAGCCAACAATTTTGTGAGGCAAAATTGCTATAATTTCATAGAAACGTATTATATGTTAAGATACATACACACGCAAGAGAATTAACTACATGTAATTCTGGATAAACATACATTTTACAAGGTCCGATTTTGTTTGTTTTCGGTTTTTTTCTTTTTTTTTTTTTTTTTTTTTTACCAAATTAGTTAATTATGGTACTATTAAGATGGTGTCATTGGCTACTTCTGTCCGGCATGGATGGATACTTACAAGGCTGAAAACAATGTACAACATGTAGATTTCATTTTGCTATCACTATCAGTTTTTCAAGCAATGATAACAGTGATTAAATAGAAATATAGTGGTTTTCATGAGATAATATTCTATGACTTAATCACAGTAGAGAATGTAAGATTTACTATGGCTTAAGCTTACTATCATTAGTTCCCTAGAGAAATAAACAAATTCTTTTGAAAATACATTTGTTCATAGGTAACAAGATGAAATGTCTTTTTAAGTGTGACATTCATGATACTTTTTTTTAATAAAAACTGATGTGTCCAGCTTATCATAGATGTACATGTATTGTTT